TTACTTGCCACAGCTCTTGCCCACCTAACAGTTTGAAAGCATGCAAATGTGAGTAGATAAACAAGCTACTTCGATGGGAAGGTAACAGCATTCTGTGCACCTCAGCATACAGTACAGTCATGCACTGGCTCCCTTGGCTAAGAAACATACATCAGCACCGCCCCCTAGAGTCAGACACAACTGGACAGAGGAAACCTTTACCTTTATCTTTAGATTAACCCTGCTAAATTATGGTTTGTTAGATAACCTAAAGCATTTAATATTCCTGCTGCTCTTCAATAAACATGTCTATTCAGCTCCCATTTGATGTGTTGTATTGTTTCCCATCTGGCTTAATTTACCACTTCAGGTTATGGTCTGTATTAACCATCAAACGTACCTTTTACGATCTTGAGCAAATTGTAATATCAACACATCTGGAAGGTATCAGTTTGGTGAAGTGAAAATATAAAAATCTTTTTTTTCTGGATAAAATTGGGGATCACTAGTATCAGTATTCAGTTTGCAGCAATGTACAGTTCTTCTGCTTGACTTCTGTAACCATGAACTTACTGGTGTCCAATTCAATTAAATTGCTTTATTACAAGAAATTACAAGTTGGCATATAAATATTAGAAAAATACATTGCTTTACAGGGCTTTAGAAGGAAAGATTGTAAAGTAATAGTTTAAAAAACAATTAAGACTTTGTTTCTCAAACTAAAAACAGCAGCTGAAAAACAGGCTATATTACTTGCAGATGTTTAGTTTCCTGCTACGAAAGTGGTGTGTTAGTGGTGTGTTGACTGCAGTAACCCCAGTCTGGTAGGGACAAGACTATAGTTTTGTATTGTCAATCCTTAAGGACAGCTATGCCTTTTTTTTAAAAAAAAAAGTATAAGCAAAACTTATTTAATACAATACACACACACTAACTTTAAAACAAGGTAGCATGTTTGGAAATAACTACTGTATATTAGACATTATAAGCTTAATTCTGTCACCTGATGTTGAGACATCTAGATTTAGTACCTGAGTTGCTGTGTGGGAGAACCAAGGCTAGAAAAGTTTCCTCTTCCATTAATGTCCCTCTGAATTGAATATAAGACTTTACAACTATTCTTTCATAAGCCAAGCACTTACCCTTTCCCAAACACAAATTAGTCCTTTTAGTAATCTGCACTGAGAATAGCTTAATGCTACTATAAAACTCATGGCTAGGCAGTGTCAGAGAAGGCTGAGTTTAAGCCATGCTGAAATGAAGTTTGGTTTTAAATTACAAACAAGCACAAACTCCTAGAGTGATTATGAGTTACTTCTATAGATTTGTTCATACAACTTTTTTTTTAACATGCTAAGAAATGAACAAAGAAAAATCAATTTTCAGGATCTTAGGCTCAAAACTAATCAAGAAACAGGTCAGTGCTTTCAGAACACTGAAAAAGCAAACTCGTTTGACAAAAATATAATTATCAGACTATGCCTACATTCCACAGATTTAAATTATATCAAGTTGAGCTGAAATGTTTTCTAGCAAGAGCTACCTTTTTATGGCACATGGTGACCATTCAGAAAAGGCAGGAGGGGGAGGGAAATGGAGAGCAGGTTGTAGTTTACAGTGGTCTGAGACAGGATGAACTGGCTGCAGAGTAATACTGAACAATGTCTACAAAACAACAGTAGATTTGGGGTCCAAAACTATTCACAGATGAAGAGGCCATCTTTGTAGAACGTATAAGTTGTTTTCATGCTCACATGCTGGATTATACAATAAGTACTTTTCACAAATTATAAGACTGCAGCATAAAACTTTTGTTACCGTCAATTTCACAATGTATTGATGAAAAGGGAAGGGCTTATGTTAACTTGGTTCACAAGCTGAAGTCATATTCCATGCCTATGCTTGAAGTGCAGAATAAGCAGTATGGAGAAACTGACCAATGATTGAAGTTGCGCAAAAGGGATGGAAGGGATCTAAATTTGGGCACTTCTCTTTTTATAATTGGAAAAGTTAATTTACCACTGAGGTTTAAGCATCTTAAATCTAAGACCATGAAGAATCAGATCACTTTGAAGATGAAAAACCAAGGATGTGTGACAACCTGAAAACTAGCAATAGTCATCGTTGCTTCCAAACTTCTAAAAAGTTGCACTTTTGTATTATTCCTTGAAGACAAATCAAGCACATCTCCCTCCCATGTGCTCTGAAACAAAGAAAGCAAGATCCTTGGAGAGTTTCAAATACCAAATATTTGCTGCCATGACCAAAGCCAACAAAGATAAAAGTACCTCTGTCAGTTGATTTACAGTTCTGTAACCATCTGTAGAAATAGTGTTACACTCTGGTCCAAATTCTTACATTCTTTCAAAACATTTAGCCACTTTTTATCATGTAATTTGCAGATAAAACTATACCAAGAAGAAAATACTTCAGCACTGATGATGAGTGGTCAAGCCACCACTCACAAGACCGCATTGAAGATGTCACTTAACAAATTAATTGACAAATTAAGAAAATGCAGGCAGTGTTCTTCCTAACTCCCCTTTCATTCAACAGCAATTGCCATTGTTTAGGTCTAAGTACAAGCCAGAGACTGATGTTACTTGCTGGACCTCAAGACAATCAACAGAACCATCATTTTTACTCCAAGAAAGTGAGTTTGAGACTACAAGTTCAGATCATTAGAACAAATTAATATCTCAGCCAATTTATAATCTATCATGGTACAGTATTGCACAAGGGAAGCTGTCAGGTCCTCAAGTGTTACACTTATACATTGACTAGCAAGAACATTTTTCTTTAAAATAAAACAAAACACTAATTTGGGGCCAGTCAGTAGAATAGGCTCAGATACAAGTGTTTTTATTAAAAGTGCTTTACAATTATTTCTTTTGTGCAATCCACCAAGTCCATTTCAAATTCAAGCACGCTGCCCAAGGAGAATCTCTTTAACAGGGAAATTCCATAGCTCAATTGATACTGAGGGAGGCCTGCTTAATTTTGGCATGTTAATGATCTATCATGTATACAATTTACAACCCCGGAAGTGGTTACATAATTTCCATAATGCCAGTGCTGAAATATGGTGGTGTATCTATGAAAAAAATAACTCTAAAAATGCCAGAATCACCAAGGTAAACTGAAAAACTAGCAATTTGTTCACCTTCCACCCACATTTGGCCAGATGAAGTGTGATGAGTTATTACCAGGTGAATTATTGGATTTCCCATCTATTTATCCAAAACAAGCTGCCTGCCTACAGCCTCACAAAGTAGCTTATTTCTTTGAGGGGGTAGAGATTGCACTGATTACAGGTTAAATGACAAGAGGTTCATCCTTTAGAAGCAAACAGATACAAGCAGGAATCCTAGAAAAGGACAGATAATTACCAAGGGTCCCCTAATCATTGAAGGCAGAATTCCAGTTTTTCACCCAACAGATCAGAAGGGCTAAGCAGCAAACTGGGAACCAATTTGAAATGTAGCATTGACTTCTTTCCCTTAAGTTTCTTTCTACTCCATTCCCCCGAGATTTTGCTTATACATATAAAACTGCTATGTCCCTCAAATCACAGAAATATATTTTTAAAAGTAGCACTCTGTTTGTGTTTGTGTATGTGTATACACTCACCCATGTGGTAACATTACAGGATACATTAGTATTCTAGAAAGAGAGAATGCAATTTTTAGTTAGTTAATATGTTTCTCTTCCCTTACATACATATAGAAAAGTAGTGGTTACTGAAGGTAAGAGTGACAGACGTTTCAATTAACCCATTCATGAAGCAATGGAAGGCTTGCTTATCTTCCAGGGTTTGGTTCAGTTTATAAGATTGCACTTACCCACCCCAATCTTCTACATTTAAGTACATGGTGGTTTGAACACAAGAGACCCCCCCTTTTTGTGTGTGTTAAACATATGACAAATAGTCCATTGTATATATTCCAAGATTTTAGAAGGGACCTGCTGTGGCATCTGACAACAATAAAATGTCCTTGGCCAAGAATGAGGCCCACAGGAGACAAGACTGCAAGCCAATTCTATTTTATCTGGTTCAAGACAGGCATCTTTATAAGCACGGATTTGATATGGAGCTGCAACAATCATCTTAATGCATAAGGATTTTGTAAAAAATCACCTTGGTCTGTCCCAAGATTTATGGACAGAGACCAGCTCCAAGGGTCACTGACTTGTTGATTGCTCTACTGGCACTATTCTACCTCTCCTGATTACCCCTGTCTCATCATCTCGGCATCTAGCCATCTTCGCACGCTCCATAGTAGCATCACCACTGCATGCTGGGTTAGTCCCATAGCATTAGACCTTCCTTCAACATGACTGTAAACATAGGACTATTTGCAAAGTTTTTGTTACATTACTGAAAGACAGATTGGATTATTATTATTACTTCTTAAGAAAACCTGATCGAATTTGGTAGCAAAGTTGGCCTCATCACTCCCTGATTTTGACACAGGAGAGCAAACAAGGGTTCTGAAAATCCAGGAGCTTTAATCAGCCTCCTTTTCAACAGGAGGAAGTGGTAAAGCTTTCATTATAAGGCCACACAAAATTTTCAGCAATGCGTTAAACAAAAACTTAACTTGCGGTCAACCTCTTTTTGGGCAAAAGCAGTCACTATGCCTTGCACAGCTGCCCTTTGTAAAAAAAAAAAAATAAAAAAAAATTAGAGAACGCACCAGAATGTTCTCACCAAGAAGTAACAAAAGGGGCAAATCGGCACATACTTACCCAGAAATGTAAGTGCTAACAATATCATTTCTTTTCTTTAAAAAAATGTGATAAGACTTTAGAGCAGCCAAGTCACAGTTTTATCACCGAGGAAGGCCTTTTTGTTGCATGATCAGCAAGTACAAAAATCTTGGTTTGCAATGCTCTGAACTGGAAACAGAGCAGCTCAACCAAATCATGGTGTTTTTCCCACAGAATCTCTGTAGCAGTCCCAGTTTGTTCCCAATGCAGTTTCTAACATTATCCATTGTTAACATTAATACACCCCCCCAAAAAAAAATTCATATACACTGGAATATAGCATTTGCATGGTCCCTTAAGTTGGTCAGAGTCTACTGTAACAGGAAGACAAAGTAGGAGCTTCCCCTTCTCCATGAGACATGGCTTGGGACAGGCCTGTTACAAGTGGAAGGGGAAGCACTCCTTGGGAGTCATTTCCCTCCTCACAGCCAGCTAGGAAACACCCCCAACAGTCAAGACGTCAAAGCAGGTGTTGCAAACACGGACAGGCTTGTTCAATTCAAATTTGATGATAGGAATCTCCTTGGTGGAACACTTATGGCAGAGCAGACGCCCACAGTGCCGGCTGCAAGGAACAAGGAAGGAAAAAGATGTGTTTAATTCATCCCTGCGACTTGCTTACTATAAAGGATCGATTTAGGAAGAGAAGGCTAAGAAAAGAAAATTATTAAGAGTTTTCCACAACACTGAAAGTTCTTGGAATTTATATGGCCAATCATTAGAGCTAGGTGTCCATATAAATTTAATAAATAATATGTAATAAGTAATATGGTTTCTTTTCGAATCAGAGCGGTTGACTCTGTAAAAGCACAGGCTGGAAGAAAATGGAGGATAAAAAAAAAAAATCAAAGTGTGGGTGAAATTGGAGAAAATCTATGTAGCTGCCAAGAGTTAACACCAATTTCATGGCACATTATGTGTCCGTCTGTTTGCCTGCCTGCCTACTGAATTCCTATACCCCCTATCACATAGAGGGAGTTTCATCCGAGTCTTTGTATTTGTCTTCAATTGAAATCAGTCCTTGCTTTCAGAAGCCAAAAAGGTGAATTTGAAAAAGAAACTGGAAGCATTACTTGCAGCTGTCTTTTTTTTTTTTTTTGGAATAACATATTTTATGCCTGCTCTCTATTTTGCATGGATGAGGTTGTTACTTTTATTTTGTATTCATTGTATGTTTTTAACCTGAATTCCCAAACTGAGACTTGTAAACCATCAGTGTAGGGCTTCTGGAGAAAAGGCCCTCTTTCTTCCTTAAGAGTTAGCATCTCTGAAACATGGACAAGAGGAAAAAGGCCTCATTCCCGATCATAGGATTTGGACTAAAGGAATGAAACAGCAGAAGCTGCTTTCTGGACAGTGAAAGGGCCAGATTTCAAGAAAAGGCACAATGAACTCTATTGGCAGCTGCATTGTCCATCTCAAAAAAGCAAGGTGGGACAGAAAGATTAAGTATGTCAGGTTACGAGTCCTTCACTGTATTCCTTAATTTTTTTAAAAAAATAAAACCCACGTTCATTTATGCAACAATTCATCCCTTGATGTTCTTAAAATATCAACACTCAAAATAGATTACCAGTGATGCTTTCTCAAAGTGACCCCAAACTTGGCACCGCATTCATAACAATTGGAGCCGTCACACCAGGGAGGTTCCTTGAACAACATGTCTGCAAAAGAAAGGGCAACAATGGGAAACTACAATCACTGTCCGTGCCTTCTAACCCACCTTATTTAGGTAAGCCTGTGTTTCTGTTTCTCTAAGTCCACTTTTAAGCAAGATTTAAGTGAAGCTCTTAAAGGCTGTCTTAGTTAATGGGATCCAACCAACTTCTTCAGAATCTTTAGCTGGGCTAAACCGCGCAGAGTAGAAGATGTAGAAGTAGCTACTCAAAGATCTTTCTTGCTTTACCTTCTTAAAGGTCTGCTCATAAAGGAGATTATCATCAGGGGCCATCCCATTAGCAGATGACCAACAGGTAGAGATAACTATGGAAAAGTGACTACCTGTATGATAGAAGTCAAATACAGTCTCTCAGTTCTAAGCCCACTTTCTCCAGCTATTAAACCACACACTAAGTCTGAGAAGACATTGTAGGAGGAGAGCCATGTTAGGCTACACAAAAATAAGGAGGTGGCTGATGGCACTTTTCCTGGGTAACATGTTTTATTGAAAGGGACACCTTTTCATAACATCTGTCAGTCTGCCATTCTTCAATTTGTTTGACAATCTTCTTTACCTGTGTTTTCTTTCAAGAAATATAAAATTTGAACATGATATGGAGAAAAGACTCAAGAGATCTATACTTTTCTCCCCATTCCCTCAATTTTACAAAAAAAAACATTTCAAAGAAATTTGATGGGCAAGTAGTGGCTATTTCTACCTTTTCCAAAGAGATGATTTTGGGTTAAAACAGCCTACAGCCTGCTTCTCTTAGTGACAGAGAAATCTGTGAAAATGTTTTGGACATGCAACTTTGCAAGATCCTTACCCAGAAGCCGGAAGAGAAGCTGTTTAGTTGCTACTTGATAGTTGAAAATATTGATCCCTTGATTGTTGTTGATGCCCAAGCGAGCACCAGCTCTCACTATAGCCCGACACAGATTGGCATTTCCCTTCATGTAGGCCAAAAGGAGCACTTGAAAAGAAAAGAAAAATGAAGTATTTGGATCCCATCGTACCCAGTTCAAATGAAATCACCTTCACTAACTCTAGGAAGGTTTCCCCAGCGAGTCATACAGCAGCAAACAATTTTTCTTAATTGAAGAAAGAAAGAAAAAAAAAACACTGAACCCAGTCCCACTACAAACCAACTCTTTTGGCAGGTATTACTGGAAGTGATTAGGGCACTTAGTTCATATCAGTGCCTACTTTTTCTAGTCTGCAAAATGATCTTTGACATGAGCCGCCAGAGAAGTTAACACACCTGCAAGTTCACACTGTTGTGCTAATTTACACTTCTGCCCCAAATAACAGCTGCCGCATACAGTAAGTACAAGTGGGAATTTGGTAAATTCAGGGACATCATTCCACCCTAAGAAATGTAATAAATTGCTTTGATTATGTTAGTAAAGAGGATGACAACTGTTTTTCCCTAACTGAAGGATGCAGATACCGTAAGCTGCCACACCTGTCTTTTGTCCTCTCTTTCTAAAGAATGTATCTTCTGTAGCCACAGGAATTCTGCGAGAGATTAGGCTACACCACGGGTATCAAACTCGCCACGTCACATAACGTGTCGCGACGTATCGCAACTCTCTTTGCATTGATGGCAATGGGGTGGGCACGGCTTCGGTATGATGAAACCGGCCCATGGGCCGGCAGTTTGACACCCCTGGGCTACACTGACAAAGTTTTATTAAGATGTTTCCATAGCATATTTCAGTTTGAATGTTCATAGTGGTCTACAGTACATACAGTTAGAGAGATGGAAGAGGACATGAAGTCTTCAGTGCAAGAATCTGAATTAAAATATGGCCAATGAAAGCTCTTCAATCTTTACACAAAGTTAGAACCAGAAGCAAATCACAATACTGGAGTAGAAACTGCAGAGGTACACAATGCAGAGATAAAATGTTTAAGGAGAAAACATTCTGGTAGCTCCCTGGTCTTGTAGGAGAAAGCAAGAAGCAAAAATGTTTCTATCATCTCACTGACATAATCTCATCTCTTTTGCCAAGATGGCAGTTACTCTGTTGGGCTGGGAAGAAGCTAAAACACGTTCTCCATCCTGGAGGAAAATTGTGGGAGCTAGAGTTTTAACATGTGCAGGGAAGGGCAAATTTTGCTTTCAGCAAATCTTACGAATGGGCCAATTTCCCCAAACCAAATTCAATTCCTGTTGTACCCCAAAGCACAATTTGCCTTCTTTTATGAAAGGCAGCAATTAAACACAAGAGGCTGAATCAAGGAAATGGTGGCATTCTGCACTGTTGGGCAACAGCCTGAAACAGTGTTTTTAAAACTTGGTCTTTTAAGATGTGTGGATTTAAATCCCTGAATTCCCTAGCCAGCATGTTGACTGGGGAATTCTGGGAGTTGAAGTCCAGACATCTCAAAAGTCGACAAGTTTCAAAAACACTGGAATAAAAGTACTTACCCGTGTTTCCATCAGTATCTGGCTTGTCAAGTGGATATTCTGGCATACATTCCCGGAAAAAATCAAAGATCGTGGCTGCATTCTCTTTCCCATATTGTCCCAGGACGTGCATTGGGGACTGGCCTCTAGTAATGAGATGTTGATCATGTTACATCCAGAGCAAATTCCAATGGCAATACAAGAAGCTTTCTCCTTTTCAAGTCGGAGTTCACTTTTTTACACACACACACACATCTTTAAAAGCAGCTGGTTAGATGTTATACACAATTATTTTTCAATGATGATTGCATACTAAGTGCTCATACTCAAAAAAGGTTATTTCATCTCTCTGAAGCAATTTTTTCTACTTTTCCTCCAGAGAAGCCTTACTAAGAAAGCCTTGTTACACATGGTTACTTTTCCCAGTGGAATTGCATAACCTCAAACTCTGACACGGTCTGAAAATCCAAGGTCAGATAAATTGATAGGAATGAAAATGTGGCAATCATGTGCAAGTGAAACACATACACACAGGTCTATTAAGGGCATAAGTTTGGAAGCCCTCCTAAATCTGAAGCAACCTGACTGGATAAGGAAAAAGTAACACCCATTAAAAGATATTTGTTTAGCCTCGCTTTTGAAGCAAGGAGAAAAGCAACCCACTTCTGGATAGTTTTCAGTGCTAACTCCCCCCCTTCCCTCCCCCCCCAGCTAATACAAAGATAAAAAGCCTGTGTTCTTCTTACCTGGCATTAATGGCTTCTGCATCTATATTACACTCTGTCAAAAGGACACGAATATTTGACAGACGACCATGCATGACCGCCAAGTGGAGAGCTAAATTTTGACAAGAAAAAGAAGGCAGGATTGAAACAGAACCTAAAAAAGATCTGTACATGATTATCACTGGCACTTAAAAGCAAAGTTTATATTTGGTATTATTTATTTATTCGGTATTATTATATTTGACATATTTATTTAACATGCAAGCTTATATGGCCATCTTTCTTGTATCAAACCTCAGCAAAGATAGGAAACCTTTTTCCTTGGGGAGCTGCTTTCTTTTCCCCAACTTACCAGGGCTACAGAAGCACAGTGGTAATGTTGGGGTGTCTCTGCTCTGCCTGGTATCAAAATCTTCCTTTATTGTTGTTTGAATGGGAATATATGAAACAATGCTGGCAAAAATTAGCTTTTTTAGTTACCAGATTTCAGAGGAGCTCTATGGCTTCAAAAAATGGCCCAGGAGCTGCAAACTATACACCACAAATAATTCCCGTTCATTGCTTTAAGAAGCAATGCCAGACTTAAAGTGTTAGATGACAAGTTTTATTGCAGTTGCCATACTGGCTTGGGATCGTATAAGATGTACAGGTACTTCTCATTTAACAACCATTCATTTGGCAACTGTTCAAAGTTGTAATGACTTGCAACCGGTCCTCATGGTCATGTGATCAAAATTTGGGCACTTGGTAACCAGCATGTATTTACAACGGGTGCAGCATCCTGAGGTCATGTGATCCCCATTTCAGACCTTCCCAGCTGGTTTCCAACAAGCAAAGTTAATGGGGAAACGGGACTCACTTAACAACTGTATGATTCACTTAACAACCATGGCAAAAAAAGTTCTAAAATCAGGCACAACTCATTTAACCGCCTTGCTTAGCAATAGAAATTGTAATCTCAATTGTAGTCATAGTTCAAGGACAACCTGTAATCAAAATGTGTCTCCGGTGTACCACATTGGGAAAGCCTAATTAGAAAAAGACAGACAATTCAAGCAATCTGTTTTTTACTACTTTGGACTACCTGCACTATCACCCACTCCAACTGAGAGAAGTGGCAAACATATATAATGCTCCCTTCTCCTATTTTTCCCAAAGTCATCCGGCCTCCTTTCATGCCTTAGGCGAGATTACAACTCAGTTTCCTGATGCCTTAACCACCAAACCAAACTGGTTCCAAGACTGCTGAAAGGGACCCAGATGTATATGATATGATATATGGATATGAGCCCAAGAGGAGAACCGTGCCACAAGAGAATGGAAGTGGCTTCTCAAGGCAAGGAAGTGCTCTGTTTAAGAAACACTGAGAGGGAAGTGAGCTCGGATAGTGAAGAATGAACATTGGAGTTCAAAAGACATACCATTGTTTTTATTTTCATCCACAGCAGCGAAGTCAATGCCATTCTCCAGAAGGACTGAGGATATTGTGGGCAAGTCTTGCTGGGCTGCAAGATGGAGGGCAGTTTGGCGGTGCTTGTTCAACTCATTGACTCTGGCACCTGCCAGCAGCTATGAGGAAGGGAACACATGAGAGAGAGAAAAAGAAGGGTATTCCAGGAGCAATAAAATGTAGGTAGCAGACCATCTGGAAGAAAACCCATCTACTCCATTATTAATAATTCAACATCTTATTTACTATTAATATGACACCAAGGCAGGCTACAGTGCATTAAAGAAATCAAAAGCTCACATGGCAGTCAACAGTATGAACTGTTCTGAAATCATGACAAATTGAAGCCATTTGGTAGAACGTCACTTGATTTTATATGATTTCGATTTTTTAACAAAATCCTCTTTCCAGTCAAGTTTGACTATGCATGACTTCAAGTATACGTCAAAGCAGTTTTCTTGGCAATAGAGGGAAATGGTTTATTATTCCATGCATCCAAGATGCATTTCAATTTTCTACAGCTTTGGGATTTTTTTTTTGTCTCCCACCCAAATACTAGCCAAGCCTGACCATTTCCGGGTGCAGGAAAAGTTAACTAGGTGCTGCAACCTGCTGAGACAATTAATTGTAAAATTAAAGGCTGCACAGGTAACTTTGAAGTAAAACATTGTTTCCATTTCACAGCAGCCACATCTTAAGCAGATGCTTCTGTATAACAGGGGGAAAAAGTTTGGAGAGGGTTCTTTTCTAGCATTTATTATTTGCGAGCTAGATGACGACCTCATGAAGATGTTGATAGAGCTTCCTTATCAACAACACAGAAATGGTTTGCCTTTGTTTGCCTCTGGGAGGTGCTATGGTTCAGTGTTTGCTTGGTGCTCTCAAATCCAAGTACCAATCAGATACTAATGTTGGTTAGCTGCTCGGTTACAGATTTCTGAAGTGCATCTGGCAAATCTTATGGAGTACAAAAATTAAATGGGGGAATAAACATTGCCCACCAGGTACCAACTGTGCCGTAAAAAAAGCTCTGCCTTACCCAGTTGGGCCAGCTATTACTGTGGAATCTTCTCTCCCCTGAGGTGAAGTAACCTTATCACTTCTGAGCTTCTGATGATCCTTTAAGACCTGGTTATGTCAACAAGTCCAGGGAGCCCATGGGACAAATGAACTTGTCAAGTGGCTCCATTATTATTAACATCCCTTTGTTCTGTGATTTTGCTTGCTTTTCTGTTTTTATAATTTTAATGCTTTTTATAATTAATAATGATCAGTACTTATTCAATGAAATAATCCCAATTTATCACTACCAAGGTAAGAATGGAACTGTTAAGACTCAAAGATATTTGCAAGACAAAGGTAGCCACTCAAGACCTGCAAACATCCTTTGTTTGCTCACTTGAAGCTACATAGAGGGACCAGGTCAACAAGCATAGATTGTCCTAGGTCCCTGCAGAAATGTTTCTGCTCTTCTATCTAATCTGCAGTAGTTGTTTACCTTGAGAAAATAGTTACTTTGTTTACTATTTATCTTCTTCCTTCAAAAATGTCTCAAAGACAAAAAAAAAAGGTTCTCTTTCTCCTCATCAAAATTTGAAAATAAAAGTTTGCACCACGTACCAGATTGCGCACAATAATTTCAGAGCCGGCCTGAACAGCAAGGTGTAATGGTGTCAGCTTGGAGGTGTCCTGGACTCTGGAATTCACATCTGCTTGGACACTGATCAAGAAGAGTACGCTTTCGATGTCTGAATTCTGAACGGCCAGATGGAGGAAATTCCGGCCTTTATTGTCCACCTAGTCAAACAAAATACCATTTTAAGTCAACCGAAATAATTTAATCCTTCTTCAGACATGATTACCCAAGCTGTGAAGGTTAATGCTTTAGAATCCATTCCCTGTGTTTTCAATGTAACACTCAGCCTGCAAGCATATTCACAAATATTCAAACTGGCAGAAAAATTCTGGCACTACGAAGCAAATTGACTGCTTTCTTAAGTGCAAAAAAGTTAAAAGGGGATGAGAAAAAAAAAAGAACCTGAAGAAGTGGAATGCAAAAGGAGGAATGTGCCATCTACTTCTATTATTCTTTTGCTTTTTGCTTCTGGTGTTTTTTTTGTAATATATCATTTACTCAGAACATCTCAGAAACTTAGTTGTTTTTTTAAGATAGCTCTTTTACTGAACAACAGTTAATTAAGCACTTCTAGGAAAAAAAAGCCTGAGATTTCTGAAACATTTGATGGGTAACCTGTATGTCAGCTTGCTTTACAGTTAAGCCAAATCTCTTAGCAAACCCAGAAAATTGCTACTTGAATAAAGGATGGAATTTTTGTTTCTTGTAACAGCTGATTTCACAACTGAAGTGACAACTGAGGGTTTTATGGTCAAAGAAAACAAAACAGCTTCACTCAGTGTCTACAGAGATTTTCAGTCATTCAAGTCATGGTTGTCCCAAAAGTGCTCTTTCAAAAAGCAACTGGACTTTGTTTTTTTCCTTGAAGACATTTTGCTTCTCGCCCAAGAAGTTTCGGTCAGAGCTGAAGAACCTTCTTGGTTGAGAAGCGAAATGTCTTCAAGGAAAAAGCAAAGTCCAGTTGCCTTTTGAAAAAAGCACTTCTGGATAGTTTCGGGGTTTTTTTTCTCCTAAATGAGTCACTTGCCTACATACTGAATACTATCAGGCTGTGAAACTAACACTGGCCTATTGATGGAAACCGGCAGTATCTCTGCAATGGGCAGACTGCATAAAAGTGTTTCACAGAGAACACTGGGCTCTCCTCTACCTGCTCAGCAGCTCCAGGCTCCCGCCTGAGGATTGCTTCGGCCGCCTTGTTGTTCTTGTAGGTCATAGCACAGGCAAAGGGGGTCAACCCTTGTCGGTCCCTCAAGCTGAGCTGGATGGCAGAGTGCGAGATCATCATCTGGATAATGGTGTTGTGCTGATTGATAATGGCAACGTGGATTGGGGTTTTTCCTTCCGCATCCTGCAAATACAAGTTTAGTCAGTGGTGCAAAATAAATAACCAGTGTCCGCAGGGTCTGCCTTGTGGACAGATTGGCTAGATTGGCGCCTGAAGGCAGGACAAGAAGCAACGGATGGAAAGTAATCGTGGAGAGAAGCAACCTAGAACTAAGGAGAAACTTCCTGACAGTTAGAACAATTAACCAGTGGAACAACCTGCCTCCAGAAGCGGTGAATGCTCCAACACTGGAAGTTTTTAAGAAGAGACCGGACAGCCATTTGCCCGAAATGGTATAGGGTTTCCTGCCTGAGCAGGGGTTGGACTAGATGACCTCCAAGGTCCCTTCCAACTTTATTATTATTATTATTATTATTATTATTATTATTATTATTATTATTATTATTATTGATTCACTAGGAATACTGACAATGGGTAATAGATACAGAGGCTCTGAATATGAAAAGACAGATGGGCAACTTGGGGTACTAAACCCATTTGGACTCCACTCCCCAAAGCCCTTTCAAAACAGACCTTTCAAAACTTCACAAGGCTCCTCCCATTTTGAGGCGGGAAGCACATCAAAACTGCCATGTAAATTCTAAAAGAGACTTAACATCATTTTCAAAGTGCTAAAACAAACAAACAAACAAACAAACAAACAAACAAACAAACAAACAAACAAACAAACAAACAAACAGCATTTTCTTCTAAAACCCAAAGAAAAAAACTAGGAAATCCTAGGTTTTTTTTGTATATGCAGCACCACTGTGTTTATTGTTTCCACCCAATTCAGCCTCTATCCGGAATCAAACCCAACTGTATATTTCTTATGTAACTTGAAACTAACAAGCATGTATCTATGAAGTAACAGAAATTGTGGCCTGTAAATGTGGTTATTTATTCTACAATTATAGATCGGGGGGGGGGGTGTCACATATCCAAAAATAGCACAAAGAGCTGCAGGAGAGTGAGACAAATGAGTCAATTTAACATGTAGCCTCACCTAATTTAAAGGCTAGAAAGGATTTAGCTAGTTTCCAACCGAAGGACAGATCTGATAAGCAAACAAGGATGGATTTATAGGAAAGGGTTCAGTTCTTGACAGAAATGATAAACCAGAGCACAATGTCAAACCAGAATGTAACTGTCCATAAGGAAAGATTCAAAGAATCAAAGAGCAGATGCAAAGAAATTAGCATACCAGAAGTGAAACAAAGGGCTGCCAGCAGAAGCTGAACTGTTACAACTTTTCTCACATACCTGTGCATTTACATTGGCACCAAACTCCAGAAGGCATTGTACTGTTTCTTCAAGTCCCCAGCAAGCTGCCAAGTGCAATGGCGTCTGCCTATCATGAGCCTCCTCATCACCCTCTCCATTGGGACCTGGCTGCCTTGGGCTGTTCACATCACAGCCACTGGGAAGAAAGTAGCATTGAAAGATCAGCCTGAACCATCCAAAATTCCAGACTGTAAGAAAAATGGAACTTGCTCCTTGTGGAGGAAAGTTAAAATGATATCCATCAGTCCTCAAATGGGAAGAGAACTGTACCTGCATAAAATGTCATGCCCCCATTAGTGATCTCTAGCCTGTTATTGCACCACATCAACCAATTACAATGTCCTATTTAGAAAGTACAGGCATCTTTAAGGATAGAGAGGTGGCTTCCAACCAAGCTTCACCAGCTACCAGGAGAACCTCCAGCAATAACTCTCCTTAACTAGGGCAGTGTCACTGCTGGGGGAACACATACATTCTGACACCCAGCTAGAGCATTTGCTTCAGCATGAGTGCTTTTTTGTAGGTGTTTTTAAAGGGAATGAGGTGATATGCTTTTTTTGGCTTGTGTTTTAGCATTATTCTGAAACAGTGTTAAACCTCCTTCCCAAAAAACAATTGATCAACAGACCATTATGTTCCTTTTGAACGTGAGTTTAATGCTATTACTGAAAAGCACTAAAGCCATAGCCTGAAAAATAGCCTGAATGGGCATTGATAGGCATTGAGAGAGCTGTGCTGTGAAACAGGAGAGAATTGGCTTTCTCTCTCCTAATACACTGAGTAACCTACTCTCCTGCAGCACTACTAGTTAGCTGCTGTTCAGGCTGATCCAAGTTTCCAAGCTGGGGATCTACTCAACAGCCTGGGAGATAGCAGGGAGAGAGCTGTTTGAAAGCACTGGACACTTCTACTGCCAAAGCAAAATGGCCCTGCAAAACAGTGCCCATATCACTCTAAAGTGGCCAAAAGAGGCAGTCTGCAACTTGTGACTGTTCAATGTTGCGACGGACTTATCTGGGAATACTTACCATCCAGTTCTGAAGTTCCAACAGCCACCCCGTCATGTGACTGCAGGTAAGGTGCTTGGCAGTCCATTTATAGCAGTTCAGTGTCCCATGGTTACACAATTGTGTTTTATGACAATGTTGCTGAAAACCAGCATTTACCTTGGTTTTCAGCAAAACCGGCCCATAGCAAACCAAGAATGGCTAGATTTATATAATAGTCATATAAATCACGCCCATAAAAATCTGCAAACTTTTGTACTATAGGTTTTTTTTTCCTGACCTGCGGATTAAGAAGCAGGCAATCGGTTCACTGTTCTCATCAATGGCCCGGTGCAGCAGTGTCTGTAAACAACCACTTGGTCCTGGGCCCCAGCAAGTTGCATCACAGCCATGCCTTACCTGCAAGCAAGAGGTAAAGAGATTCACTCAATGTATGAAAATCAGACTTTTTAAAAAAAAAATCTGGAGAAGTGACTTCTGGAATGAAAAACAGACATCTTTATATCATAATCTGCCTTTCGTATGTATGTATGTATGTATGTAGGTAGGTAGGTAGGTAGGTAGGTAGGTCGGTCGGTCTTTGGTTATTCGGGTTTTCTCCCGCGTAAAATTGGAAGTGTCTTGGCGACGTTTCAACGAAGTCCCATTCGTCATCTTCAGGTTGGTGTTTTCGGCTTCGTACTTCTAGGAGCAATGTGTGATCGCAGCTGTTTCTTCCTTTTAACTGCCAGTTTCTTCCTTTTAACTGCCAGTTCATACCCCCACTGGCAGTTAAAAGGAAGAAACAGCTGCGATCACACATTGCTCCTAGAAGCACGAAGCCGAAAACACCAGCCTGAAGATGACGAATGGGACTTCGTCAAAACGTCGCCAAGACACTTCCAATTTTACGCGGGAGAAAACCCAAATAACCAAAGACCTACATACAAACACCCGCGAAAACCTCAGAAAACATACATACATACATACACACACACACAGTATGCGGGCTGTTCAACCTGTAAAATTGCATTTATTTATTTGCTCTCTATTAAAATGCACTTTCCTGAACTTAGGCGGTACCTGGCTCAAAGTAATAATTGTGAGACAGATCTAGGTGTCCTAATGAACCACCATTAAATATGAGCCAGTAGTATGTTTCAGCTGCCAAAAAAGACAATGCAGTCCTAGGCTGCATCAACAGAGGATAGCATCAAGATTGTGAGAAATAATAGTACCACTTTATACCTCACCAGTGAGGCTACACTTAGAATACTGTGTACAATTCTGGTCGTCATGATACAATAAAGATTCTGAGACCCTATATAGCATGTAAAGAAAAGCAACAAAGATGACAAGGGGGGTCTGGAGGCTAAATCATATGGTGAACAGTTGAGGGAGCTAGGTATGTCTAGCCTATCAAAGAGAAGGATTAGAATGAACACGATAATAGTCTTCCGGTACGTGAGAGGCTGTCACAGAGAAGAAGGGATTGACTTATTCTTCAAAGCATCAGAAGGCAGGACAAGAAGTAATGGTGGAAGCTTGTTAAAGAGAGATCCAACCTAGAAGTAAGGAGAAATTTTCTGACAATGAGAACAATTAATCAGTGGGATTAACTTGCCTCCTGGAGGTGTAGGTGCTCCATTGCTGGAGGTTTTTCAAAATATTTAAGATTGTAACATTTATTCTTTTAATTTTATCAGTTCAATTCCCTCTTACCAGTGTTGAAGCAATATCTTCCAGATTATTTTCAAGAGCAAGCCAGAGGGGAGGGTTCCCCTTTTCATCCGGCACAGACATGTCTGCTCCTCTAGTGCAGATTGCATCAACTACCAAGGGCAACTGGTTTTTGATAGCTAGTTGAAGGGCTGTCTCACCGTCTTGAGTCCTGCAATAAGGGCAATGTAAAAATCTATTTCTTAGACCTTTGCATCTGGCAGGAAATCTCTACTACTCAATGCTTGGTTAATATAATCACCATTCCACCCCTTAATTGGCTTTTCCTCTGGGATCACAAACAAGAGTTTATTAAAAAGTGCAGAACTGCACTTTGTAATGATGCAGAGGGGGAAAATTATTGTACAGGTTAGAAGGAAGGAGTAATCATATTAAATAATTCTTTAATTAAACCCTATCCTTTTATTGGGAGGTGACTTTCAAAATCTTTCAAAAACCCTTTAAATATTTTGCTCTCAAAACAGTGGCAGACCCCATCAAAGAATGTGTAATGAGTTCTCATTGTCTGAAAAGCAGTAAAAAAGTTAAACTTTAAATTGTCCATGTTTTTTATAATTATTATTTCAACTAGGTAAGTTGGAGAACATGCATGGAGAACTATTGTATATTTGCTGTTCTTGAAAATGAAAGGTCCATCTGCCCACACTAACTGCTCTGTAAAGAATGAGTTGTGCTCCCAGATCTCATACACATTCCTGCTCAAATTACCCAAGGCCTTTTCAACAGACAATGCCAGAGATTAAAAGTGGAGCCTTCTTCAATTAAAACAAGTGCTAACCCTAACCTTTAGTAATTCTGTATTTTATATTGAAATTCTAGTTAAAAATTATTGTATCTCCTGCCTGAGCAAGAGACCTGGATTCCTGATCCTGGCCTCTGGTGGTTTGTCTCTTAGCATGTAAGAACTAACTCAATAATGCATACATTCCTACAATTTTCAAAGGAGAACAAAAGAAATAGCTTATCCATTGGACTACCTTAATAACCTAAGTATATTAAAAAAAAACCCACTTTCTGGCAAAAAGCCACTTCTGGAAAATTCTGGCTTGTGTAATATTATTGTCTTAGTTACTGAATCTCTCAATGAAAACAAAAAATATGCATCCACAGCTACAAAAAATAATACAATTTTAAAAGCCCTTTTAAAAATGAGTCCTTCCCAGAATGACTTAATGTCCAGGGCATAGAGAGCCAAAAGACTCGAGTCAGCCATGACAGAGTTCTCCAATCTTTCTGGCTTGGCAGCCCAGAAGGAAAGGAAGCAACAGGAAGATGTGCACATGCGACCCCGCCGCACGACGGTGGTGCTAGAGTGTGCACCCATGCGCAAGTGGGCCAAATGCACCATAGCACACGCGCTGGCGCCTGTATGCATGCACAAACGGGCAGGCGCCCGCATGACACTGGTGACAGTGCTAGCGCCCCCGCGCATGCACAAATGGGGCTGCTAGTGCCCGCACGGCGGTGCTACTGCGAGTGGCGCAGGGCTCGCCAGCTCTTCCCGGGGCCTGGTGGCCAATAGATCGCGGCCCAATACTGGGCCGCAGACCATAGGTTGGGGACCCCTGAGTTATGAGAAATGCTTTGATATTTAACCAGCAGGCAATTAATTTAACAAAATTAGTTCTTGGGCTGGTTCCCCTCAGATACTTGGAGCCCAAAAACTGAATTCTGAAAGCCTGCCAGGAGTTTCTTGCAAATACGGAAGTAATAACCGCCTCTTATTACCTGACACCGATATTGGCTTGATGCTCCAGGAGGAACAGGGCACTCTTGCTATCCTGTCTCTGTATCGCCATGTGTAACAGAGTCTGTCCGTCTGACATCGTGTCATTGATGGAGGCCCCAGAGCCCAGGAGCTGAGCTGCGATCGTGTGCATACCTAATGAGAAAAGGGGCAATGTATGCATTTATGATATTTTTAATTTTTTTCCTTTCTTCTAAGATAGCTTCCCAGTCCAGGTTTTCAATAATGTTCTACTGTACCCCCTCCAGATGTTTAGGGATACATGATAGCTAGATTTTGTATGCTCAAGCTCAGCATACCTAAAAAGTACAGAATTAGATTATTTTGCGCCTAAGGCCTAAGTTCACATATAGATCCTGTTAGCTCTCTAGATGCCTCTAGATCAGGGGTCCCCAACCCCTGGGCTGTGGACCGCTACCGACCTGCCGAAGTGAGGGGGAGAGCGTGTGAAGTTTTATTTGCACATGCACAGGATTTAGGTTGCATACCCAAAAATATTCTACCCGCTGCCATTGAAGCTGCCGCTGCTGTCAGTCCACGGAACCGAAAAGGTTGAGGACCCCTGCTCTAGATGCTCCCAAAAGCTGCCACTGAATTTTAATTTTTAAGGGGGCATTAGAGGAAAATTTGTGTGTGTGTGTAAAATCATGAACTGTATTTAATTGAAATTTTAATGAAATTTAAATGAAACCAATTTTTGTTTCTATCCTGGTAGCCTTCTCTTTTTTTGGCCCTGACCTCATCAGCTTTTTAGGATGTATTCTTGCCCCCAAGTGCCTCGGCTTGCAAAAATTAACAGTTTCAGAGAACACACTAGTAAACATGTGCTAAGCCACTACTTGTAAAGAATAAAGGGTGGGTGATTATATGAAATAAGTAAACCTCCTGTGTATTTGAAAACAGAATTTAAAAATATCACGCTGAATAGTGCTATAAACTCCCTTTAATTTCAACTGAGAGAGCAAAGAAGTGAAATCTTTCTTGGGGAATTGTTTGAAAGGATTTTCAAAAGAATTAACTTTGCCTGGATTATATCTTTAATTTCTAAAACAATGCTTTCTTTTGCAAAATAAAGCCTCCTCAACCTATTGTATCATGCTTGTTTGAAACCTTACCTGTCCACAATGCTAATCCCAGCACAGTTTGATCTCTAGAGTCCTTGAGACTGAAGTCTGGAATGATTTGCAAGTTGTTGGTCGCATGGAGAGCGTTAGCTTAAAAAACAAAAAGTAAAAATCAGGTTTCTTTGAACATCCTAATATAACTTTCTAAAGTATGATATAATTACAATTTCCAAACCTGTAGCCAAAATCCATAGCATCCTTGCCCAACCTGGAATCCTCAAGATCTATTAGTCTTTAATTTTCATAATCTGTGATTCAATCATCATAAAGGTCATCCTGGTTGAGAATTCTGGGTTTTGCAGTCCCAGTCTACCTGGATGGAACCAGGCTGAGAAGGACTAAATAAGATCCTTTTGCTTTAAATGGTCAGATCAGACTGCTTTTTGAACACTAGCTTCCATTTTACTTTTACAGCTGGGAATTTTAAAACTTATAGATAGTCCTTGACTTACAAACACAACTGGAACCAGAATTTCCATTGCTAAGCAAGATGGTGGTGAATTGAGCCATATGATTCATTAAACAACTGTAGTGATTTGCTTAGTTGTGTCATAAAATTGGGTATGACTCATTTAACAACTGTCTTCCTTAGCAACAGGAATTCTGGTCCCAATTATATTGTAAGTTGAGTACTACCTACACATGGTTCTACTTTTGTGATCTTTTCTCTCCACAAAACAGTATTGAGGACATTCCTCCAACCATAAAGGTTGTTCACCTCTGCTCTAGATCAAGTTGTTAGAGATCTCCTTTTAGGGGCCCCAAACTCTCTCATTTACAGAGACAACGAGTATAAATTCCCAGTCTCCAATTTGATTTGTCTGAAATAGTATAGCGTTTCCTGCTTGAGCAGGAAATCGGACTAGAAGATCTCCAAGGTCCCTTCCAACTCTGTTGTTCTGTTATTTTCAACACCTTCTCAGATTTCTCCTCTTGGTTCTTTTCTTTAACTCTCAAGAGAACCTCTTCCAGGTGACCCTTTCCCTACTCCTTGGTCTTATTCATTCCAACTCTGAGGCTTCCCAGTGAGCAACTCCTTACCTAAAGTTGACTGAACATCTTACCTTTTTGCTCCAGGATGATCGATACCACATCTGGGTGGTTATAGGCTATTGCCATATGCAGAGGAGTTTGCGAACTAACACTATCCGCAGTGCCAGGCATGACAGTCCCCTTCCGGGCAGGTGCTGCTTTCTCTGTCTGGATATTAGGGTTAGCTCCTTGTTGCAGCAACTCGGCTGTGAGATTGGCTAGACCATGCTGGCAGGCTGTATGCAGCGGTGTTTCACCCTTTAACAAAAGAAGAGTTGGAGAAATGAAAGGCATCGGCTGGGAGAATGGGAGAGAAAAGCTCCTAAAAAAGACTTTTCAGAGCTAAGCAGCCCAGACTTCAAGTGTCACGTGATGACCATGTCAAGAGTGAGCTATCATCAATCCAATCTGAGTCTGGGATGAATTGTTTCTGAAGGTAGGCATGAGTTCATCTGACTGTATGGCCTTCTATACCATCCTCCCCTAATCCCCTTCAAACCCCTACCATACAGGGCTTCACACCAGAGAAAGAGAAGCAATGTTATTCTTATCAGCAGCCTTGGATTCTCAATGGCCAGTTAAAGGCAGCCAGTCTATCGTACAGGTAGTCCTCAACTTACAACCATAATTGAATCTGAAAGTATGGTTGTAAATTGTGCCAGTTGTAAGGTGGGTCGTCACATGACCAACTCAATTTTACGACTTTTTGGTGGCAGTCCTTAAGCAACCACGGCAACTGTGAAACAAACATCGCAGTTGTAAAGTAAACCCATTTTCTGCAATGGGCATTTTTTGTTGGAAACAAGAAATAAACACCAATTTCTGGCAAAAAAAGTCATAAATTGTGGTCATGTGATTGCAGACCACTGCAAATAGTAGTAAATGGTTGTCAAGCACCCAAAATGCAAACATGAAAGGGGAGACAGCCAGTGTTGAAACTTCGAAGCCAGATATGGGTACCTTTTGGGGGGGCCGTCGTAACTCTGAACATTCGCTAAGCGACTGGTCATAAGTCAAAGGCTACTTGTAATGCACAAGAAATTGAAAGGAAACAAACAAGGTTACTTGAATTGTTTTCATCCTACCTGGTCATAATGAAAAAAACTCAGTAATTTATGGATTTCTATTTAAACTATTTTCTTCTTCCTCTCCCTTTTTCTTCTTCACTGTATCTTTTAATGTATAAACATTTATATATTATACATTTAATATATAAATGCACACACTTTTTTATTATTCAGATCAGAATGCCATTCAAGGAACCTTGCTGAAGGATGAACAATGCAAATTATACAGGTAGACATATTGCTAAGGAAATAAATTTAATTGCCCTGGATGTTCTCACATATGATCTGGATCGCTTAGGAGATGCTTATAAGGATGGCAAGATATGAAGTTTCAGAAGCTTTATAGCTTTATAGTTAAATAATTAAATGCTTGGATCTTTTGATTGTTGATTACAAGATGTGACTGAGGATGAAATCAAGGCATATTATCTATTCTCTAACAACAATACAAGTAATCCTCAACTTACGACCACAATTGAGCCCAAATTTTCTGTTGCTAAAAGAGGCAGTTGTTAAGTGACCTTTGCCCGATTTTACAACCTTCCTTGCCACAGTTGTTAAATTAATCACTGCAGTTGTTAATAACATGGTTGTTAAGTGAATCTGGCTTCCTTATTGACTTTGCTGGTCAGAAGATCGCAAAAGGGGATCGCATGACTCCAGGACACTGCAACTGTCGTAAATATGAGTCAGTTGCCAAGCATCTGAATTTTGATCAGGTGACCATGGGAATGCTGCAGGGGTCATAAGTATGGAAAACAATCGCAAGTCACTTTTTTCAGAGTCGTTGCAGCTTCAAACAATCACTAAATAAACAGTTGTAAGTCGAGGACTACCTATATTTTTACCATTACATTTTGCCATAAGAGCTTCCATGTTATTGATCCATATCCCATGACATGGTACAAAAGGAACCGCATCGAAAATTACTTTGGGACAGACCAATCATGCTCCTTTGCATGCAATATTCCTTTCTCCAGACCTACCCATTTATTCCTGTGATCAACTGTGGCCCCATGGGTGGCTAGGAAGAGTGCTGCAGCTTCATTTTCGGCCCCCGCAGCTCTCTGTAGCAAGCAGCTTCCTAAAAGCAACCGCCAACAAGCAGAGAAAATTAGAGCAGTCAGTACGAATTCAGCCAACCCTCCCCGCTAAGTCTCACTCTTAAATTTCTTGCCAGTCTCCCCCTCTCTCACCTGTCACTGTATCTGGAGCATCAGTATTGCTCCCTCGTTGGATGAGTTTGGCGGCAAAGCTGTTCTCATCAAAGGAATTGCCGTTCTCCACCGGGACATCCTCAAAAGGGTTGACAGACGGGTCGGAAGACATGGTAATATATTGAACCGCAAGCCATAGGGCGGTACTTCCTTCGTGGTCCTTCAGTTCCAGATCAAGTCTAAGAAGAACCATGGAGTCTTATTTTCCACTGTGCTGGAGAGATGGTCTTTGTTCCAAAACAGTGAAAATCAGGACCTTCTACTATTAGGGGAGTGTTTGTCCCCGAATCTCACCTATTTACTGGGCTTTCACTGGCTACATTTTGCATTTTCTGTCTTCCAGAGAAAGTAATTACAATAAATAGATGTTTTTTAGAACCAAAGAATATCAGGCAAAATTACTGATTTATAAGATTAATTGTTATTACAGTTTCTGATAAATGCAAGTAATTCTTCCAGGCTGTAAACTAATTGTAACAAATAGTTCTTAACAACATTATTTAAAATAACAGTCCAACACATAAACCTTCCTCAACTTGTCCATATTTTGTTGGCTTCCACAAACTTACTGTTTGCACTGCAGCAGCTGATTGAATACTTGGTCATTTCTCACAACAATAGATGAGTGCAATGGAGTTCTAAGGAAGGAAGGAAGGAAAAGTTATTTCAAATGCAAGGTCATAAAAGCAACCTTCCATAATGCAGAAGCCCCAACACGTTTGTAGAGAGAACTAGGGACTCCTCCTTCATTTAGCTCTAATGGCTTCAGTTTTATTTATATCCTGACTACTTAAAAATACAACTATCACTAAATATTGTTCATAAGAGAGGCAATTTATTTTAGATTTATGTTCCAACAAGATCCTTCTTGCCATATCACTTCAATGTTTGACATGCCATCCATGTTATTTTTTTAATTTATTCATTTATTTAGGAAACTTATATGGCCACCTATTTGCTCACAATGACTCTAGGCAGCTTACAAGAAATAGAAACACAGTATAGAAAAAAAAAATTAACAGGTTAACTAAGTTCTCCCATTTTTAACTCATGCAGCCTCCTTCTGATAGATTTCATTCTTAGCCATGATATCTGATACCTAAGTAACTTCTCATTATCCAGTGATGACAGTCAAATCATGTATATGTGGTCCTCCATTTATGACTGTAATGGAGCCTGTCCATTACAATTCTAAGTTGTGACCATCATAATATTGGTTACTGCATTATCAGACCCATTTTTATGATCTTTTTTTGTGGTGACCATTAAGCAATTGTGGCGATTGTAAAGCAAATGGGCTGTTTTTGCCAAAAATTGGAAACCTTTCAGCAAAAATGTTGCAAAATGCAGTCACATGGCCCCAGATGCTGTGAATGCCTGTAAATGCAGGCTAGCCAATAGCACCCAACATACGGTCATGTAACTGAGGATGTATGGCCACCAGAACTTCAAAACCGGGTCGTAGACAGCTTTGAGGAGTCAACTGAAACTTCAAACAGTTACTAGGTGAACAATCATAAGTTGAGGACTACATGTATTGTGCTATCTTTAAGCAATACTGAATTACCGTAGTTATTATGTAAAGTCATTAGAAACTTTATGAACAATGTATAATTGTAGGTACAACCCCTACAATGACTTAAACTATCTTTAACAAATTCTATCTAATCTCTTTTTGGGATCCCTCCCCAAAATCCTCAGTGGACTTTTAAATAGCAAATATAAACCTATAGTAAATATTGATAAAACATGCTAATTGGTTTTCCTTCAATTCCAGATGAAGTCTGAGAAGGATAGCATCTTATGCTGAAAAGCTTTCTGGAGCCACTATGTTAGATTTAAGACTTTGATCCAAGGTAATGAAAATCAAGTCTTTGTATTATTGAGATTCAGTTCAACAAAGAGCAAATGGCTAACGGAAGGTGCCAAATTCAATCCCCAGCATCTCCCAAATCATGTAAGTATCATTGTCCAAAGAACTTGGGATCCTGTCTGAGTGAGAACTGTGAAACAGTGAGCTACATGGAGTTATTAACTGATATTCTACAACAGCCTTGAGATGTCCGAATGGAGAAAACTGCTACAAATATGTGGATTCCAATTCCCATAATTTCTCTGTAACATAGCAAATGCTGAGAATGCTGGGATTTGGCAGATACTTCTGGAGGATGTTCAGGCTGGGAAAAGCTTCATATGTTCAAATCAACCTCATGAGCAACAGTCACAAGTACAAAGACAGCAGGCTACCCAATAGTCACCTTCCTTGACTATCTTGCATGTTGGGGTTGGCTCCAGCCCTTAGGAGGGACTCCGCAATCTGCGCGATCTCCGACATTACTTCTGGTTTGTGCTTCTTGGAGTTATAGGATGCCACAAGATGCAGGGGTGTTTCTTGATCTCCCAGTGTTGCAGCATTCACCCGGGCCCCATTTTTAATCAGGAAATTAGCAGCAAATTTATCTCCTTTTGAGTAGGGAAAAAATGATGACAAATATCTCAACATGTGAAGTAAAAGTCATTGTCCCTCCCCACCTTTCCCTCACATTTAAAACCAAGCACTGAAAATCATTTTCTGCAAACTAAGGAATTAGTTAGGTAAATATATTATTATTACTATTATTACTATTATTACTATTATTACTATTANTATTATTATTATTATTATTATTATTATTATTATTATTATTATTATTATTATTATTATTTAAATTTATATACCGCCCTATCTCCCTTACGGGACTCAGGGCGGTGAACAGGTAATAATAAAAATCACAGTAAATATTACATAAAAGCCTGCTCTAAAATATAGAACCCCTAACAAAACCCAATCAAAACTACGCCTAGTTTCCTAATAAAGAAAAGCTCTTCCATTAAGACTCATAATAAATATATATTGCTCACAAAAATATTTTTGTGAGCAGTATATATATATATATTCCCATATACAAACATATCCCAGTGAGAGATAAAAGGAGTTATTAAAAAAAGAGTAAATAATCTTGACTACTGGAAGGCCCTTGAAGCAGACCATTTAGATAGAAAGGGAGATTATATTTTAGATTACATAGATTATATTTTAGGCTTCTTGGAATTATGTCCTGGGTCCCACATTATACCCACAGTAGGACTATCCACATTTCAGTGATCAGAAGCTGCCTTCAATGTCACTGTTTGTATGTGTTAAATCTATGCTAACTTATTTAAGGATTACACTGCATGTTTCTGAAATACTGCCAATTTTCAGCGATCAATGTCATTAAAATATGAGAGTGGTTGAAAAGATTTGAAGACTTACCCCTACAGTAAGCCATAGTTTTTCAACCATGATTTATTGACTATTCTACAACTGGGATCTCACAACACACTGAACCAAAGACAATGAACTATCTTATAGTTTAGCCATAGCCCAGACTATATTTTAACTTTGCAGTAAAGGCAGATTAACTCAGCAAGAGCTTGATTACAGGTTTATGATCATGATGCCAGCTCTATCTACGACAAAAGTTGAAAGAGACAGAAATCACACATGCAGGGAAGGAGGAACTGCTGAATATATCTCTGAATCCATTATTAGCTTTCTTCCCTTTTGGCAATTCAATTTTCATAGACACAGGCAATGGGACAAAAGGGACAAAACATCAGCATTACGCAAGATAAGACTGACAGTAGAGGGCACAAAGCAACCAACAAAGACAATTTCCCTGTGTTTGTGTATATACTGTTTCTTCTGTCCCTTATAGCTTTCTCAGCCTGCCAAAGGGAGAATCTTTCAAACTGGCAGAACACCAGAGTGATGTGTAAAACATGGGCAAACTCTCAAAACAGGCTTTCCTAAAGATTTTAATGAAGTCAGGCTAGGAAAATCTGGACCAGAGAGTCTCTTAGATGGAGACAGCTGGGAGCCAGGAGCAGAAGCGGAAGAATGTTTTAACAGGGAAAAAAAGAGGAATGTATCTCTGCATGTTTTCAGTTTTCACTCATCCACAGCTTAATTAACAAGTAGTATGTAAAGCAACACTAGAAATGCCTCTGCATCCCAGCCCCTGCATCCCAGTCCAGAAGAAGACATTTGGGGAGGGCGGAGGGCATATTTCTGCCATGAATCAGGTACGGTTTGTGCAAGTTCTCCAAACAGCCACAGTCCTTGGTCTGGCCAAGAAAAGACTGGGAAAAATAGAGCAAGGGAACTGAAACTGCACGTAGACAATCAGAACGTGAGATGTGCTGAGTTCCCAAGCAAACCTCCACTCTCTTTCTCTTGTGGTCCTGCCCATAACTGGAAATGGACAGTGTGGTTCCCCTTTATTTAAGCAGCAAGTTGAACAGTTGAACTAATAAGTTTATCACTGTGAAAAATAAACTGGGAACAAGATCCCTTTGGTCTTCCCTCCACTGACAGCGTCCACAAACTGAAAAACAAATTATATACAAAAGCCCACTCTATTTATTTATTTATTATTTTATTTATTTATTATTTCAATTTGTATCCCGCCCTTCTCCCGAAGGACTCAGGGCGGCTCACAACATTATTAAAACAAAGAGAGACCCACACACCCCACCGAATAAAACCAAATTAAAACCAAAATTTTAGTGTTGTGCTGATTAAAATTTCTAAAAAACCCAATTTAAAAATCCTCCCTAGGCCAGGCCCGCTTGTTGGAAAAGCCATGTCTTGAGGGCGCGGCGGAAAGTAAGGAGATCCGGAATAATCCGGATCTCGGGGGGTAGTTCGTTCCAGAGGGCAGGGGCACCCACAGAGAAGGCCCTCCCCCTGGGGGTCGCCAGCCGACATTGCTTG